ATTAGAGTCTGAAATCAGTCAATTCCTTACCATACAAGGAATAATTATTCCTACATTTCCTCTGAGAGATGATCATAAAACGTCTTTTGTTGATCCAATAGCTCTGCAGTGGGTGTAAAACTGAAGTAACATCAGAATTATTCACTATGGTTCATTTATAACAGAACACTTCTGAATGGCACAAGACAAAACTGAACAGGTGAGCTCTATGTCCTCAATAGTTTTACAGGTTTGTTCTATCACATTTCCTAGAGCAAAGTGTGAGACAGCTGCTCACACAGCAGTAGTGCTGGCCCCAGGCCGCAGCACTCTCTTCCCAACACACGCACTGGCAGAGAGCAGTCAGGAACACGAGCACCCAAGCAGGCTGTGAGGGCCAGCAGTGAGGTCAGGGCCCTGGAACACAGAGATACATCACATTGTTGTTGTCAAATAGGCATCTGTGTGTTTCTCTGGTGCTTCAAGACTACACGGGTGGGCCCACAGCACTTGTCACAGGGGGTGTGGGGCTCTGCACTGGGAAGGCTGGAGCCAGGAGTGGGATTGCAGCACCGTGGGCAGGCCAGGCCGCTATTCACCACAGGAATGCAGACTGGGCTGCCGCTTCTTGCTGTCCCTCTCACGCCCTCGTCCCCTTCAGGGAAACATGGCAGCGTTAACCTCCTGAATGCCTGAAATAAACTGGCAAAATATTTGCCTTTGCAGCAGCCAACATGGAGCATATGCATTGCACAAAGCATGGCACGTATGAAGCAAGGTTAAGCCCCAAAACTCAGAACTGTTTCTAAAGCTGCAGATATTTTATGTGTGATTGTACTCAGGTCCCACCCATTAAACGAAATGTTGTGAGGGCCGGGAGTGTTAATCTGAGCTTTGGAATACTGTATGGGTAAAAGCCTCTTTCATGTAACCACGTTAATGTACTGAGCTTGGAATTCTTATAAATTCAAATTATTACAAAGGAAAGGGTTTGGTGTTTGGCAAAACCACAAAGCCTGCCATTCACTTGCATTGCTTTGCTTTGCTTTACATTGGGCTTCAGAAAAGAGCTCAAGGCACAAGAGAGAGCCTGGAATACACTGAAGTCATTTAAAGAGAAATTCCCAGAGATTTAAGGTTCCTTTATCCAACCTGTTCTCACTTGCTTTTTTGTTCCTCTGTCTTACTATTTGTTAATGGTTGTTTTTAAGTTGCACCACAAGTCTCCACAGACACACCATCCTTCTTTGGGATCCCCCCAGAGCAGACTGTGCTCAAACCCAGGTAGAAAACAACAATGTCAAATAACCACAGTTGTCACAGAAGCCCAACACTAGCCTCATCTCCTTTTCTAAAACCTGATTTTCCACAAACAACTAAAAGATTCTGCAGGCGGCTGAGGTTTTACCAGGCCTGGAGGAGGAAGGTGGATGGCCTCTTCAGTGGTGCCTTGTGGCCCTGGAGCAATTCTGATCTTCTGAGAGTGCAGAAGACAGTGACTGCAAATCAAATCTGTAAGTATATAAAGTATGCCTACAACAGTGCAGTAACAACAGCACCTTAAATTGCAACTTGTACTCTATGTATTGCAGTATATTGGCATACATTGGCTTGTTTTCAGTTTCCCTCTTAAAAAACAAGAATAGATAGATAGATGGTCCTTCAAAGCAAGAGCTAGAGCTGTCCACATAGGGCAGAACCATCTTTCCTTTTGTGGATATTGGACTGCTCTCCCACCTCGTTCCAGACTTAACCCACATGTGTCAAACTGACTTAGAGAAATGGAAAAGCTTTAAAGCAACTCACAGCCATGGCGAGCCCTAAAGCAGCCATTGCTGTGGATATCTTTGCTATGCAAAACACTGACAGATGCCTGTTCCTAGTTTAGCTCTGCTTGGTTACTGAAGAAAGATTTATTTCATGAATTAACCTTGTGGCATCACTTTACAGGCAGGGATTGTTGCAAACAACAAGACAGCTTGCTGTATTTTTTAACACCACAAATTAGAGTAACGTTATAATTGTACCTCCAAAATCAGAAAGTGGTGAAAGAGACTTTCAGCTTGGTATTTATCACAGATTTCTATGTGTAAAAACCACAGACAAAGCCAGCTGTGTTACAAACATGCCCGGATACAGCATCACTGATATTTCTCCTAAGGAAAATTGATATTTAATCCTGTTAGAAACTCCAGACACTGAGATACTTGTTTGTTTGTATAACCTCACTGAACACATGTGAATTCAGACTGGTTGCCATCTTTACCGAGCAACCAAAGGAAAGAAAACAATTTTGATTGCATACAATGTGAGGCAAAGATGATTTTTTTTTTAAATCCTGAAAACTTGAAAGAGGTTACATCCTCTGGTATTCAAAATCCAGAAGCTAAAAAGCAAATTTTATTTTTAAAGATAAGTCATGCTTTTCCTTGAAAGACAGCTCTATTATCCTGCTAAGTTTAGTGGCAGCTCTCTTGTGAGGGTAACAGCACCTGCAGCTGCCTGTGGGGAAGTGCCCTCTCGTTAGTGGTGCCTGGGATCACCTGCCTGAGGGGTAGAGCAGCTGGGCTGGGCTCCAGTATTGTGGTCAGGCTGCTTGTTGATGTAGGCCCTGGCCAGAAAGAACTGAAGAGGGAAGGATGAGATGGCAGGAGCCATCTAAATTAGGAATCAGGGAGGTGGTGAAGGATGGGCCTAGCTGCAATGGGAGAGCAAAGGTAAGGCTGACTGCAGCATGGGCCTGTGCAAACTTGGGTGTCTGGGGTAGAATGGGGGGGTGGGGAGGATGACAAGTTTGTGTTGTGGGGCTGGAAAGGAACAGATTCTGGTGGAGGTGAAGATATTAGCTATAAATTCTTCCTGTGCTTTGTTGGCTTAATGGCTACAGTCAGCTACCACCTAATCATAAGAGAAGGATGAAAACACTACTGATTGAGGAGGCACAAATCTACACTCCTTAAAGGCAGTTCTATGGATCTGACTGGTTCTTTATCCTTTGGGATTCACAATACCCAAGGTACAGAAACTCGGTATTTGTTTCTATTTAACTCTGGACATTGGTATTATTAACCATAGTAGATTAAATAAATATGGTCTCCTGGATTGTTATATTTCATTATTTTGTGAGGTGTAGGAAATACTTTGTGCTCTTTCAGAGAGCAAGGGGGGTAATGCTGTGAAGCACTGAGCAAGGATCCTCTTCTTTCTCTTCCTCATGGGGTAAGACACTGTATTTGCTCAGAATTTCTAGTGGTTTTGTAAATGAAGTGTGGTGTGGATTAGCAGATCAGTTGCCATGGTGTTGTACCTTTGCGTCTGATAGTATGAAACACAAGCTCTAAAGGCACTGCACGAAGCTGCTGTGCCAATGCCATGGGAGTAAAAACAAAGCTGCATATTATTGCAAGAGAGCACGCAATGCTATGGCCACTAGCCTGCTACGTGGTTGGTTGTGTGTTATAAGGGAAAAGTGAAACGGTTTTTTTAAAAACTGCAAGTTATGCATTGATAGTCAGCCTTTTGCATAGTGCTGCTGAGCAGTATCCAAGCTATTGCTTTGAAGAAAAATACCCTGGGACAAAGAGATGTATGCAACAGCCTCCCACAGCCCTCTTGTGGGAGCTACTGTGGAAGTACTCCCATCTGCCCTCAAAACCACACAGAGCTCCCACTTATGGCTGTGTAGGAGCACAGGTACTTAAATGTACCTGTGCAGACAGCCTGCGGGCAGCTGAGGAGGGCTGGCTTGTTGAAATTCTGTTCTCAGTAGCATCATGTATGTAGACTGATGTGCTTGTCTGTGAGATGGGATCACACTTGGGATCCTAACAAGCACGCTTAGCTGTGAGAATCAAACCTCTGTGATGTTACTTCCCCTGTATGAAAAGGTGGAATTCTGTCTACTGTTGTAAATAATGCAGGGCAGCTATGTGTTGCAGAAATTGCTATTTTCCTTGTAAGATGAGAGCTGGATGTCTAAATGAAAAAGCAAGACTGAGGAAAGCCTGAACTGTCTCCATCAAAGCGTACCAGAGTTCTGCTTCAGTAAGTGGATGAAGTGTTCAATATCTCAAACCCCTCCTCCTCCTTTGTAAAGCAATTTGTCTGCTGCAAAGAAAAGATGCTTATGCGGTACAAGGACGTTTCTGAAGGGAGAAAACTAGAAAATCAGCCTAATTCCTTCTGTTTAGCTCTTACTTGTGCTGAGTGCAGGAAAACAGAGAGATGGTTAGGAAAGCCTTGCAAGGTTCCTGCAGGACCCGGGGTGCTGTGGTGCCTTTGGCCCTCAGTGGTTCATGTGAGCAGGCAGGGACTCCTCCTGTGTTCTGGGAGTAGCTGGATGGTGCAGCTGCAGCTGGTGGGAAGCATTTGTAATCTTACTGGCCATGAGTAGATAATGTTTCCTAATTAAGTGACAAGAATATATATCCTGGACACATCTGTACTTCTAGTTTTCAGCAATTTGAGAACATACAAAAAAAAAAAAAAAAAGCCTGTTTAGTGCATGTCTCTTGATGTTCTGTATAATCCAGATGCAATGTGAGAAGAGTATTTTTCTGTAAATGGGAATGCAGCTTTGGTGATAGCTCATTAGCTAGGTTAAACATTGCTCATTTCCAAAGCATGGTTCGGAAGAAACTCTTCTGCTCTGAGAGTCTCTTCAGAGCTCTTCTCTCAAATCTGTCTGCTCAGATTTGACCTGATCTGCTCTGTGGGAACATGGCTGGGCAGCTTGTTCTGCATGTGATAGATCTGTGTGAGCAAGGCAGCTTTGCTAGGGCTATGCAGTGAAGTCTTTGTGCTGTATTGTGGTACCCGTGGCTTTTAGCTGGGCAGTTTCACTGCACCTTGAACCTGTTATATAAATTTGTGGTTATTTATGTCTTCTACGATGTTCAGTGTGCTCCGTGCTGCCCCGGTCCCCACACCTCTCCAGCTCTCGGCAGCCACTCGCTGCTGTGCTGCAGGCTCTGGGGAGGAAGGAGTTACACGATTTTCCAGAGTGTTATCAAAGTGGGCACTTTATTTGGGGGAGAAAAGTTTAAAAAAAAAAACAAAAAACAAAACTGACAAAGTGGAAGGGCGAGGCGCTACGAGGGCCGAGGCTGCGGCGGGGCGGCTCGGCTCAGCCCTGCCAGAAGCTGGCGAAGAAGGTGCACAGCGAGTGCCAGCGCTGGGCGCAGTAGGTCTCGGCCAGCTGCTCGGGGGAAGGCTCGGCGGAAGCCGGGACGGGGCCGGGGGACACCAGGCGCAGCTGAGCCTCGGGCGGCGCTCGGCCCGGGCCGCAGAAGCGGGCGCTGAGCGGGCCGCCCTCCGCGCAGGGCCGGCGGCGGCGGCGGAGCCGGGCGACGACCTGCCGCCAGAACTGCCGGCTGCGCGCGCCGTAGGCGGGGCAGCGCCAAGGCTCTCCGCGATACGCGCAGCTCCGCTCCGCCCCGCGGCCCGCCGGCGGCCGGCAACTCAGCCGCAGCTCGCTGCTCCCCGCCGCCCGGCGCACCTCCCAGCCGCACCGGTGATGCTCCGGCGTGGAGAAGCGCCCCGCGGGCGCCGCCTCCGGGCCCGGCCCGCCGCCCGCGGCCCCCAGCGCGGCCAGCGTCAGCAGGGCCAGGGGCAGCCTCATCTCTCAGCGCCGCGGGTGCCTCCTCCGGTGCCTCGGCGACGACGCGGACCGGCTTGGGACCCGCCGCATGCCCCGCGCCCTGCGGAGATGCGCGGCTGTCGGGGGGCGGCCGTCCCGCTGCTGGGGACCGCGGCCCCGCTCTCGGCTCGCCTTAACCGCCTCCCTCCCCCCCCCTTTCTCTGGCAGCCCGGGAGCCCTCGGCGTTGGGGCTGCCAAACACAGCTGGGGACCGAGCTGTTCTCCTCGCGTCTCCCGTCGCACCGCTCCTCTCCCCCCCGCCCCTCCCCGTTACCCCGCCGTACACCGCTGACCCCCAGCCTCCCCGGGAACTCACGGTGCGCGGCGGGCAGTTACGGGTGCGGGGAAGGCGAGGAGGCGGCTGGCGGCGGCGGGGAGGGTGCGGGGTTATCAAGGGCCGGGGGCTGCCCCCCCTGCCCCCGCTTCCCACTTTCCCCGACGCCCCTCCCCAGCCGCCGCCCCCGGGGACACGCGGGGCTGTCCGGGGCCCCCGGCAGTGCCCGCCCCCTCCGCTCGGGGTTCCTGGAGCTCCGGCGGCCGGGCCGGGGGGTCCCGTCCGGCGGCGGTGGTTCTGCGGGCACGAGTTACCGCTTCGGAAGTATCGAAGTGGGGAATTCTAGGACGGTTGTTTTCCTTCCTTAACGTGGGAATTTTATTTATAGATGCGCGCGTCCCTGCGATACCTACACCATCTCTCTCCGTCGGCGGGGCGGTCCGTGAAGCAGTGCCGTTATCCCGAGGCAGAGCTGCCGGCGGAGCCCAGCCCGGCTGTGTCCCCGCGGCTGGGGATAGCCGTGCGCGGACCGAGGGGGACACCTAGTGACACACCTGGTGTGTGGGAGAGACATGCGAGGAAGCGGTGCCTTTGGGAGCCAGCTGCACCCAGGCACGCAGATATCGGCTTTTGCACAATGGTTATAGGGCTTCGTATGGCTGTTTGGGTTTGTCCTGTCCAGCAGGATTCAATGGGGGAAGACTGATACTGACTCGTTTGTCTTTAAGTCCTAAAAAAAAAAAAAAGCCACCTTTCTGCAGAGATTGAGCACAACTGCCCAAAGTGAGGGTGTGGAGTTCTTTCTCCAGTTCAGGGGAAGACTACGGCATGGGGTTCCATTTCCCAGCTGCGTTTAATACTTAAAGCATGGTGACATTGCTCTTCCTGTTTGATTGTTTTGGGAATAGGAAACAGCAGGGGAGAGAGGGTCTTGATAAGGAAATACAATGACAGTAAGTCATAGGAGAGACTTTACAACCAGAAATCTCAAGTAGAAACCAATAGCTCCTTCTTTCCTGGAAATACATATATACCTACCTCTGCAGGACAAGACTTAGCTGCTGATAGGTGAGCACAGTGCTCTGCTTGGCATGCTGGGTTCAGCAAATCCCTTTCATGGGCACTGAGGACCTCCCATGGACTGCAGGCGGAATCTTGGCATCCAACCTAGGGATGTGGGTACCACGAGGAGCCATAATGCACTGCATTGTGACTATTTAAGATCCTCTGTTGCTCCAGGGAGCATAAGGCATATCATGTGCCTTAGCTTATTTGTCCACCAAACTGTGGTGCTGCATTCAGATTAAGGTCCAACCACCTGTAACTGCTATATTCTATTACACTGAGCTCCTTTTCCATTTTTGACATTCTTAGTATCATTTACGCAATGTGAAGTGGAGTTGTCTCACATTTGAGATCATTTTTAAAGCAGGTTATCTTAAGTATATCAGATTTGGAGGGAAATAACTGATCTAATGAGCACTTTCCTGTTGCACTTTGCTTTGGACAGGTTTAAGTCACATACAAGTTATTACTGATCAGGAATTGAGGAAATAAAAGGAAACAATGAAAGGCTGCTTAGACTTCCCATGTGTAATTGTATCTTCCCTGATGTTTTTTTTTTTGCTGTATTCTGGTACATATTTGCACACTTTCCTCCATTATTGAGACTCAACTTTTGTGGTAAAGTGGATGTTAGTTCTCAATACTGATTACTTCTGTATTAATTCTCCTGCATGTGCTGCAGTTTTCTCTGTTTTGATGGGTGTGGGGGGAAAAAAAACCACCTTATTTCTTACCAAAGTCTCTGTATCCTTTTGCCCTGTTTGCAGCTAGTAATAATAATAATAATCTAGCCCATGTTGCTGTTGTAGTTTGGTTTTGAATTTCCTTTCCTCCCCCTCACCTATACACCAGGACAGAGATACTTGCTTTATATCTACAGAGAACCTGAAACGTCTTGGAAGTTAATGGCCCTATCCTTCTAAGTAAATAGTGTGACTCATGCAGGGAGAAACTGGAAGGATTTACAGTTGTGCTGGGTTAGATTGAAGTTTGGAGTCAGGCTAGAATCTGGATTAAGGCTGACATAAGCACACAAGCAGTCTAAAACATGGGAGTCAGCTCAATGCAGAGAATCACAGGATACAGGTCTGTGCATCTCCAGGATAAGCAATGCTGACTGAATAACACCTCTGCAGAAGCAAACCTATGTAAGGCTGCAGAGAATCACAAGTTGAAGCAGAGACTTTTGTTGTGTAACTGCGAAATGCAGGTGGAATCAACGGTGTCACTCATAAGATGCTTGAAGCCAGCCCTTGATTGGGATGTTATATACAGTTTTAAGGACTGATCTTAAAGATCAACAGGACTGAGGGCAGAAGCACAGTGAGAATGCTACAGACCTAAAGAATATGACTTCAGATGAACTATTTTAAGCTGTGGGTTTATTAACGAAGAAAAGAACTAAGAGGAAAAATACAGCAATAGATGTTCAACCACTGCATAAAGCTGTTTCCTTGTATATCTTTCCATTTCAGAAGCACAGTCTGTAGCTTTGATCAGTTCTTTTACCAGTGGGTGAATTATCCTGGTTTTTTTTTGTTGTTGTTGTTGTTAACTCTTTGGACAAAAAAGGATTCTTCCATGTATAGGCTGTTTCACCCACATAGAAGATAGCATAAGGCAATTGGGTTAGGATTCTGACTTCAGAGTATGGATCTTTCAAAATTCAATTGAGTTCCAGTCAATGGGAAAAATAATGCTTATTCTTCTTACTGTAGCCCATAAGAGTGCAGCAATAACTATTGCAAGAATAGACTTGCTTTGTGGTGTTAAGTAGCCACAGCCTCTTGGCCTGTCACCCAAAGTTCCTTTTCAGAGAAGTAGGTGGTACAAAGAATGGTGATTCATAAATCTGAATTTAAATACACTACATGAACATAGCTGTGTTTAACCTACTTGTCTGAGAAGCCAGTCTTCAGATTTCTTGCTTTTGGCTCAAGAGAATAAAATCATTTTATGTGGTAATAAATGTTGTCTGCGGGGAGGCAAATAATTGAGAGCCTCATTCTGCTTTTGTTGAGAACAAGCCAAGCTCTGGATAGTATAAAAGACAAGAAGTGGTGGCTGAAGAGCCATGGGGAGACAGATGTCTCAACTTTTCCCAGCAGAAAGGCAATTTAGGCCTACCCTGCATGGTGCCCAGCTCTCCAAGCTATAGAATACTTCAGAGCAAAGTCGCTACATGTGTTTCATTTTTCTTCCAACACAAGATGGTGAATAAGCATGGCTACTGAGAGGTCTCATAAGATTATTTGAACATTAATGTATAATTATCAGATTTGACGTGTAGACAGTTGAAATCTGGGAGTTTGTGTCCTGTTTCCGAGAGTAGAGTGGGAGTAAAATGAAACAAGAACTTTCTTGTTGAAATTTTGTTTTCCTCTTAAGTCTCTTCTAGAACCTAATTAAGTGCTCTCCGAGGTCAGAGTGAAGGCTTTGCCTGGGTTTACTGCCTGGGCCAATTCTTTTCTTCCATGCCAATAAGATTCCAATAAGTTCTACTCAGCCTTTCATTTAAGAAGACTGATTTTTGCAAAAATTACAGAAATGGTAAGGAAAATTTGTAGCACTGATCAGAGGTTTGAAGACTTACAGTTTCTTATGCTGTGGAATCTGTGTAAAATTTGCCTTTCAGTTAGCAGGTCATGCTGCTGCTGAATACCATCTTAGTGGCATTTCAAAATCACCCTAGACTACGATGCTGCCCCTAATTCATTGGCTGTAAAAAAAAATAAAAATTAAAAAAATATATATACATTGTCCACCTTTTCCATTTCTCACTCCTGCAGGCTTTTTTTTTTTTTTTTTTTTTTTTTCCTATAAGCTAATCTGAGTCACACATCTGTTGTTCTCCAGTGCTGTTTCTCACAGTGGAATTCAGGAGATCTTTGTGATTTGGGTTTTTGGTAGTGGTTCCACTGCTCTATAGGAATCACTTTGTTCTCTGCATCCTGTGTTTTCATTTTCATTCCTTGCTTCGACTTGCTTTTTATCCACTCAGACTGTACTCTTGATAGGAGATAAACAAATACCTGCTAATTTTTCTACATAAGTATTTTTTTCTGATTTGAAATTCCACCCAGAGTTTTCTTATCTGCCTTCTGTCTTGAGGATGCTTCTCTTTCAGATGTGTTAAGCTTGCCATGCTTATTCTTCTCTTGTCATGGGAGGGAAAACAGGATTTTTCTTCATTTGTTTTTTCACATGCATGTGAAGGATTTATTGTCACCTTTCAGAGAAACAAGGTGACCTTGTTTCACTATTTTGTATCTTCATTCCATAATTAATGGACTGACCCAGGCACTGACAGCGCCCCTTGTTGAGCTCGCTGTGCTGAAATACCTCCACCACTCCAGCTTTCTTATCAGCTGATCAAAAATGTAAGCCTTGTGAAAGGCTGAGCTTCAGCTTTGCCTCTTTTGTTATTTAATCTGGTTCAAAATAAATCAGCATCTGCCCTGACATAGTGAAGGAAATTACAGAGAGAGAGGATTTCTACTACTGTTTAATAGAACTTCGCTGGAATACCAAAAAAGACCAATTATTTCTTAGAACTTTTAGCTGGTTATTCTAAATCCTTTTAAAGAGGCAGAAGATACATTCCTTATTGTTTTAGCATCAGGCAGACATACGCTAAGTCAAA